CTGCTACATCCATTATCGTATAGCCTGCTACTACACAGGAATGCTACTACGTCCATTATTTTATATCCTGCTGCTACAGGGGTGTTTCTATATCGTCTATCTTTTAGTAGGGAGTTTAGTCACTTGACTTTTTATTGCGGAAAAAAAGACGCAGTTTGTTTTGAAAAATTTCGTCCAAAAAATGCATGAAACGATTTTAGGTAGGTGTCGAAAAATGAAAACCCACCCATAAAAACTACAAATTTAAATACATGTTTTGGTATCGTTTTTTTCAGAAAATAATATAGAACATTTATTTAAGTGAAGACGATATTCTACTTTTGAATTGAAAAAATTATTTACATTTAAATGATTTAACTTTGTTAAAATATCAGTTAAATTAGATAATTTATCCGTCTTCACACGAAAGTAGGTTCTGCAACTATTTATTAATATATGTTCGTATTTTTAATTTTTTTTCTAATGGTTAATTAGGGTGGGTTTTTTGTTTTTCAACTGGTGATTTGTAAAATTGCCCCCGTTTTACTAACAGTAAGCGCACTCGAAGATATGTGCGTTATTTTTTTTATGTGGAAAAAAAATGAGCACGTAGATACAAGGCCGGCGCGATAGGAGGGTGTGGGGGTGTCACATCCCCCCATCAGTGATTTTCAGTCGGCAAATTAGACTCTTAGTCGGCAAATTGGACCCTTTTAGACTAGGTAGTCGGCAAATGTCGACCCTTTCGTTATATGTTAGTCGGTAATCTAGACAGTCGGCAAATGTCGTCATGGCAGTCGGCAAATTTTGGAAAACGAGGACCTTTTTTTTTTTTTTTTCGGCAAAATGTATTGGCCCACGTGACACCTACTCGCGCCGGCCGTGCGTAGATAGTCTTTATTTGTATAAAAATATAGATATAGAATAATTAGGGTGATATATCTAGCTTTAATTGTTGTAATTTTAAAATAATTTTTTTCAGTTTTATAGTATTATTATTTACTTACTATATATATTTTTATTTACTGAAAAGTAATAATAATTGTTATTAATAATAACAATTATTATTTTATATAATAACAATTATTATCTTAAAATAATATTATTATTATTATGATGATGATGTTAATGATGATGATGATAATGATGATGATGATGATGATGATGATGATGATGATGATGATGATGATAATGATGATCAGCCTGTTTACAGCTATTTAAAAGCTTCACGACATGATTCTTGAACCCCTTCGTGTCAGAGATTTAAATTCATTTGGCAATTTGTTGTAAAACTTTATCCCATTGCAAAAGATAGACTTTAGTCCGCTTTCCTTGTTCTGTTTTTTAAGTGATAATTATTTGTATTTCTTATAAAATAATCTTGTACTTCATTGTTTTTTTATACAAAATCCTTAAAACTTTCAATGAGTGTCTTTCAATTAAAGACACTCATCAAAAGTCTTTTAGTTACATAGTATTGTGTACAAATGTAAATACTTTTATTTTAAATTCAATTAAATCATCGGGAAATTTGTCAGTAAGTTTTATCATTTTGTAAGTTACACTGTTGATTGCATATATAACATTGTGTATGTTATTTAAAAAGTATTTCTATTGTTTTGTTATATAAACACCTAAACTGTTATTAAATTTTGAAAATTAGAATGTAATTGTATTACATAATTTACATTAACTGTTTAAAATTTTTAAGTTTAAAATAGTTAATGTTTTTTAATTTTAAAACAGTTAATCTGTTTTAAATTTATATATTTATTTGGCTTGACTTCTGGAAAATTGTATATTTATTTAGAAAAAAGGCTTAATAAAGAAATTTATTATTGGATATTAAACATTGAAAGATATCTCATACAATGCTGTATATTCTATGTTTTGTGTAATGTTCAACTGCTTTGTTGTAAAAAATCATTAGCTATAAAGATAACTCAACTAGTTGATAACATCAGAAAGTTAAAGAAGCATTGCAAAAATAGCAAGTTGGCATTGTAATTTAATGGTACGCATAAAACCAAATGCAAGTGTTCAAACTTTCTAGGCTTCGACAATTTGGTCTCAGAATCAAACATAAGAATGACTAAATAGTGATAACATAAGAATGACTAAATAGTGAAAAACCAATGAAGTAAGAATTACTTGATTGTTCAAAAACCAATGATAAAAAACAAATATGGTTAAAGAAAAGCAGTTCTCAAAAAGGATAAAGCTATGTGTCTTAAGCAAAGTATAAAGAAAAAAAATAGAGAAAAAATTTAACTATACCAAAAAAAAAATAAAGCTTTTAATAACTTAACAAGTTTAAATATAAAAGCATGGATTTGATTGCAAAAAGTTATCGAAAAGTTTGTAATATAGAAGAATCTTAAAAATTAAAAGTACTCCTTGCTCAACCTAATTTTTATTTTGTCATCTCCGGTATGGAATGTGACTAAAAAACTTTTTTTAAAACAAAGTTAGAAGAACCAAAAGAAGAAATTCGACTTCTTACTACTCTTACAACTGTTTTTTGAGCAAATTTAATGCCAAACAATCTTTAAGTAATTTGAGTAATAATTTTAAACCTATTTACATTATGTGGCTGTTAAAAACAAAACAAAAAAAGAATTGATGGTAAAAATTCAGGATACAAGACTAAACAAATTAATAAAGCGACAAAAAAAAAAACATTCCTTATCAAAAATTTTTAATAATCCATCTGATTTTGTAGCTATTCTTTTTGACATTGTGTTAGCAAAAAAAGTTCTCTTAAGGTATCTTTGGAATGTGCAAAAGTAGTACAAACTGATCAAATAAGTGGAAACGAACCACATTCTATGTTAAGTATGATAATGAACCTGATGAACTATGATCATTTCTTTTATTAATTGATTTTGAAAAAAGTAATCATATTCTTTGTAGCGAGGATCATGAGGGTTTTTTTATTATATATAATTTTATGTTATAATTTAAACTTAAATTATTTCCTTTATTAGTAAAATCAATAAAAATATGTTTTAATAATCTGTTTTTACTGCATTTGAGTGATTTTTATCTTTTTCTATGGGATTAATTATATTTTATGTGTTTACATGTACCCATTTTGTTTAATTAAAGAATCCAGAAATGGAGGGCTATCCCTAGGCTAAGTAACTATTACTTTTCATTAACTGCCTATAAAGTAATGTAAAGAATCCAGAAATGGGTTAACCTTAGGCAACATGACAGCTTATAGATGGAGTGCAAAGTCCTATGGCTTACCTTCTCGTTGGTGCACTTTGTTAAGTAAGTTAGATAAGTGATAACATCTAACTTATGAACAAAATAGCCAAGGCAAACTGTTTAAACATTTTTGAAGACAAGAAAATGTAGAAATAAGTACTGTATGTCAGTAAGAATTACATTTGTGTGTGTGTGTGTGTATATATATATATATATATATATATATATATATATATATATATATATATATATATATATATATATATATATATAAATTATGCTTGTGTAATCTACAAATAGAGTAATTAATGTTCTTAAAGAACAGAGCAATAATAAATTAGTAAAAACACTAATCTAGTTTTTCTTCTTCTACAAATTATATATATATATATATATGTATATATATATATATATATATATATATATATATATATATATATATATATATATATATATATATTATATATATATATATATATATATATATATATATATATATATATATATATATGAAATTTTTTTATTGCCGACAACTTTTTTTTTATGTTAAAATAAATTTTAGATAATATGTTATCTATAGGTATTTTGATGTTTGGATTTGAGTTTTTCATTTAATACATTGAAAAAAAATTCAAATAAAAATTGGTTCATTTTAGTTTTTTTAAATATTTTTGTTTTAAATAACATTTTAAATATTTAAACATTATTGTTTAAAATCTTCAAAAATTTTAAAAACATATTTTACTGTTAATTGATCAGTTAATGATCCGTCATAATTGATCAGTTAATGATCCGTCAGTTAATGATCCGTCAGTTAATGATCCGTCATCCGTAACCGTTAATGGTCCGTGTTTCCAAAACACCGAAAAAAATTATATTAATAAATTGTTATAATAATATAGAAAAAATTTGTTATTGCAGATAAATTTTACGCGCAAAAAAAAAAAAAAAAAAAATTTTATTTTAGGTGCCAAAAAATTAATGCGATACTTTATGAAAATATTTCTTCAAAAGTATTGAAAATATTAGAGTATTGAAAATATTAAAACATCCATATCTTTGGAACTAAATAAGCTTAAGATGTGGCTGAAACCATTTTGGAAAAGAAATATCTTAAGGAATGCAATATATTTAACATAAACAAAATTTATGTTGGCTATAAAAATAGCCTAAACACCCTACTTCTAGCCTGCTTCTACAAAAAAGTGCTGCTACATTGACTGAGGATTTGGCATAGGGTAGCAATCTTTTTTCTTTTATTATTTCAATTAAAATTTCAAATGTTTAAAAACTCTTTACTAACGAGAGCGCAACAAGCGAAAAAATAAAATTATTTTAGAGCGCTAAATTGTAGTTTTAGCTAAAATTACATTGTATTTGTTAGAAGTTTTGTATTTTTTACCTGAGTTTTATTATAGTTCTTTGTTGACATGTAGGACAATGATTTTATGATTTAATTTACACAGATTGTGTCACATGTCTATAAATTATATAGTAAAAAAATAATTTCTGGCATTCTGGCCTGAAATATTATAATTCCCGCCGGAACCAAAATGACCTAAAAGTCACAAATTTCGCCCGGAACTCCGGTACATCCCTAAATATTACTAATAAAATTAATATACTTATAAAAGTATAAATATTTTGGATCACTGTTTTCTCTGGTTTAGGCATTATTAAAAATCTTCCTAGAATACCGTCTACTGCTTGTTCATCTTGCACCTGTTTGTGCAACATCATCTTCTACATTCGTATCCTGATCGTCTGATTTCGTAACCTGATTTATAACCGCAAAAACTAAGATAAAATAATCAGCATTTTAAATATACATTCATAAATCAAAATTAGAATTACACAGAACAACTTTACATATAGAGGATATTCTGAATGGAATGAATGGAAGTTTTCCGAAATTTCTTGTACCATCCATGTTTATTTTTGACATTACCAAATTAGTAACGTCGCGACATAACATATGCAGTGGTTTTTACCAACTCTGTTCCACCAATTTTTTAGCAAATGTAGCTAAATTAAGCTAAAATATATCTAAAATGAAAAAATAAATATTTATTTGTTAAACCTCTTGATTATTGCAAAGACGAATACCTACTGTCACACAATCAGACTAGCGTTAACAAAATGAACTTAAACTGTTTATAAAACTTACGAAAAAAGCTCTTGCAGCAGGACTTTCATAACGAGAGAACAGAAACTTATATTTCTTAACTGTGTCAATGTCGCCATCAATAATTTTTAAAACATCGAAGTCCATTTGATTTGTTGGCATTTAGGAAGGTAAATTGTCGCAATATGAGCTTTTTAACTTCCATGAATTAAAATGGCGCACCTGACACTAGTTTACTATTTATTTATCAGTCAATTTGCTTTCAGTTGTTGTGAATCTTAACGCATTTAAGTCTAATTTAATTATTTAGCCAATAAAAAACAATTTTTAATAAGTTTTTTATTTCGTTTTCAAACAACCTATTCAAACTGCGTGACTTAAGCTGTTATGTGAGTTTTCTGACCAATAGCTATATTACTATATTATAATATAATAAACGTTTATTAAACGTTGATCAAACCTTTAGAATAACGACTTATATTAGTAAATATTGTAAATGTTTGATCGACGTTTAATAAACGTATATATTAAAGGATTTAAAGCGTAGATTTTAAATCTATAAATGTTTACGTTTAATTAAGGTCGATTAAAGGTTTACGATATTGACTAATGTAAGTCGATATTCTAAACATTAGATTTTCCTTAGCTTTCATTTTTTCTTGGATTTTGGGTATTGTGGTTTATCCTTCTCCGGCTAGAGTGACAGACTAAAGAAGTCGAGTTAGAAAGATAGCATAGAGAATATGGACAGATATTGTACTGGAAGTTAGAATGTGCAATTTATAATATAAATTAGTTTAACTAATTAATGTATTTGTATAAACGCTCAGGCATAGAGCAAACAAACTCGTAAAAAAAAGTTGATAATTTTAAATAAATCCGATTGGTTGCAAACCGAACAACTTTTTATTTATTGGTTTATTTATTAATTTATGCAAACAAAGAACTAGCAAAATATTATTAACAACCAAAGCGTTTGTTATAACAGTTTTGCAGTAGATGTATCAATATGGTAGTCTCTCTTTTCAAACCTCTATTCTGATGTTGAGCACCCTTGACGTCCGAAAACCGGGATTTTAGGGAACAGGCAAATTGGGATATATAGGGATAGGCGCTTTGCATTTTACATACATCAACTGATTTATTCAGCCATAGGCACAGTAAGTGTGCATACATTGGCTGAGGTGTTTGCGGACTTAAATGAGACCGTCGGAATAGAGGTTTGATAAGAAATTTTGCCTATCAATATAATTATAAAAATATCTTGAAGTGTTTGTTTGACACAATTTATAAACTTAATTACAATTTAATATATTTGTGTTGGTATATTAAAAAAAAATATACTACCTTTAAAAGTATTTCATTTTGTACTGTGCTAACAACAAAAAGTATTTATCTTAATTATTACAAAAAGTAAATATCTTAAAATTATTTTAACCACTATTATAATCTGGTAAAAGTAACGCTACTATAACAAATCGTCAAGCGTAGTTTTATTTAGAAAAGATGCAGTTTTCAACATACCTTTCAAAGTACCTTGGGGCTTGGCTATAGATAAGTCTATGAATTTGATTTTTTCATAAAAACATGTGTTGGTGTTTGTTTTTAATGAATGTAACTTGACATTTCTAATCAGACATTATTTGGTAAAATTATCCGTGAAAAACCATTTTTTTTATGAAAATTGAAGTTATTATTTTTAAAACCACATTTAAATTAGTATGTTTAACAAAATATCACGTTAGATTTAGATAACCTATGGTAGTGTTAATTTTTCTACCAAAGTAATTTTTTGCGTAAATAATCATAACTTTTAGCCCCATATAAAAAACTGTTTTTGGTATTCAGTATCATTTTTTGAAATACTCGAGACATATTCGGCCATCTTGATATAATAAGTTTTCCGTAAACAATTAAAAAACAGAGGCAGTAAACTTTATAAATAATTCGAATTCTTTGTTTGCATAAATTTTAATACCAATAAATAAAAAGTTTTTCGGTTTGCCACTAACAACCAATCGGATTTGTTTTAAATTATCGGCTTTTTTTTTTACAAGTTTGTTTGTTCTTAGTTGCATTGAGCAGATAAAATAAAACTCTTCACTTAAATACTTAAAACGTGATTTAAAATAATAAGTTGCTGTCCAACAATAAAGTATTCAATAAGTGTCTTGGTGTCCAACAATAAAGTATTCAATAAATTCAAACTTAAAACCTTAATTTTTAAAACCTTGAAAAAATTTTAAGGCTTAAAACCTCATATCTTACCTTTCCGCAAGCGTTTTCAAAATGTTCAAATCGAAGTTTCCACATTAATTTTAACCATAGTCATAACATGCAATCTGTTATTATGACTATGATTTAACTTAAGACAAAAAATATAAAGTAAATGATTTGATTTAACTTAAAACGAAAAGTAAATGCAGATATAATAATTTACCTCCTTAATTCAGATTCACTCAGTTGTTTTATAAATTGCCGCAAATTTTTAGCATGAAATCAAAAAAAAAAAATGTAGATGAAAGCAAAAAAAATTATCTAACATGGTTACATTGTTAGTATAATATTGCTATTATATTTTGTTGTAATAAGTGTGGCTGACATAAGAACGACTGTTACATTTCAACTTTGCTTTGAAGTATTTGCATCTATTTGTCTGACATTTTTATTGGGTGCTGAATAGTCGCATTTATTAATACCTTGACATTCACACTTTGATTGAAATTTAACAGCTTTAATGTTTCTAAGACCTTTCCTCATTTAAATTAAAGCCTTCTTAAGATAAAAAGCTTTAGCTACAAAAGTCAAAACTGATTTCTTAAATGTTTTCCATTCAAGATTCATCCTTTCGCTGCTATACAGTATCAAATCATTTTCATCGTGATCAAGTATAGTTCTAAGTAAGTTTCTGGAATCTCAAAAACCACGCTCTATTAAAGGTATAGATATTATTTGTTTGCTAATGTTTGTATAATTTTACTACTTTTAATCATAATTTCTGGCTTTTTTTATTTGATCCTTCATTGTGTTGTTATTTTGTAGAAATGCTATTTCATTTAAATTATGTCCATCTGTTGTTTGTGCATATGCAGCATATGCACAAATAACATAAGAACATATAAAGTTTGTATAATTTATTCAAATTATTCTTACACTTTCAGACCTAGAAGCCTAGAGCCTAGGTTAGGGATAAGACCTACACCATTGCGTTATAAAATAATAAAAGCATTAAAATAGAAGTTTTTTTTGCAAATAAAAATATTATAACCAGTTCTATAACAGAAGACGCAGCTATATCTTTACTAACAATGTTGCTAATGAAGAAACATGATCATCTTTAATTTTTCCCATAAAATGCCAACAGGTTAATTTTTTTAAAAGTTAAGTTATTTCCGAAATTGCCAAATTAACTCGATCACTATATATTATATCCAGTCACTATATCCAGCCCTGAGCAGCACTCATTGCACACTCTCTCTATTTAAGTCAGTCGATGTATCTACATTCCCTGCATGTTTTCCTTATTATTCGCTCCATTTCGGAAGTTAGATATCTCGAAACCCAAATATATATATATATATATATATATATATATATATAATATATATATATATATATATATATATATATATTTATATATGTATATATATATATATATTTATATATGTATATATATATATATATATATATATATATATATATATATATATATATATATATATATATATATATATATATATATATATATATATATATATATATATATATATATATATATATATATATATATATATATAGGTAGATCAAGACTTATACAGTTAATTAAGTTAATAATATTTTATCTAAAATATAAAGGAACTCAATATAGATAATATAAATATAATAACACAATATTGCAGTAACACAATACCACAGTTATCCACCCTTCCAATAGATATTCACATATATATTTTTAGACTTGATTAATTTTTGTTACAAATTAAGCTTTTAAGATTGCTTCTACTACAATGTGGGTGGTTTGCGTTAACTATTAAGTTTTGGGTTGTAGTAACGATAGGATATGGAGTTATGGATGGTGTAATATTGATACTTGTTGTTTTACTTGGAGAAGGTAAATCATTAGTAACAGACATAAGATGGCAATCAGTTGGTGATATTAGGTTATTTTCATCAGTTTCAAATGTATTGCAAGTGTTTATAACTTTTGAACTTTCTTTAAGTGAAATTGATGTCTCAAGGTTTCAGGTGGTTGGATTATTTCTTTATTGTGGGGAGTGGCACATGGTGCTAAATGTCGTGTTGATACAGTGTCAATTCTGCCATTCATATACTTTACACATACATAGTGGGGTTATATAGTTTCAAGAAAAGTGGCTGGTTCTACCAGTGGGTCTCCTTTCAATCAGAGGTGATTTTAATGTAGGACAGTATTACCTAATTCTATTAGGGTTTGAAACCCGTTAGTCTGTTGTGTGGACTAAAATTTGTTGAAGTGCAGAGTAGTGATCGAATAGAGGATAGAGCTGCAGGGAGTACCAGTTCCTAGTCAGTTTTTTCTAGTTCAAAACTTCATAAAGCTAAGTTTATTGTTTTTGTTTGATTGTGCAGTTTAGTCTTTCACATTGTCCATTTCCTTGTGGTTGATATAGCGTTGTTTGTGTCTTGCTGGTATTGTTTTCTATAAGAAGCATTTTTAGTTTTCTTCTTTCAAACTAAATACCACGATCAGAGTGAATAGAGGCAGTAAAAAGATATTTTATTATTGTATCAGATTAATTTGGGAGCAAGGGAATGCAAATGAGTTACCAGAATTTTCTTCAATTATGACTAAAAGGTATTTTTTCAAATCCATAGCCATTCTTTCCCATGGTCCAGTAGAGGAGATGAGTTGACCAGGCTGGGGTTGAAAAATCTTTGAATTAAGCTCACAGCATACCTGATAGTTGGAGATTATGTCTCTAATTTCACTGATAATGTAGGGTAAATTCCATGTATTGCAGTAGTACTCCTGGGTGGCATAGTTTGATATATAGTTGTCGTAGTGTACAAAGATTAGTATTTATGGCAAGACATCTAGAGAGTGCATCTGATGCAATATTATCTGGTTCAGATCTATATGAAATATTGAATCGATATTCATATAGTTCTAAGCGCCATCTTGTAAGTTTGTCACTTCTTATTTTGGAAATTGGTCTTGGATTAAAAAGAAAGGAAACAACTTTTTGATCTGTTATAATATTGAGTTTCACAGCAGAAAACAGTAGAAGTCTATATCGACGACAACATTCCATAATAGCCATTGCTTCTTGTTCTATGACTGATTAGAAATTTTCAGGCCTTAATAGAACTCTGGAGAAGAATGCAATAGATCGTCCTTCTTGACTTAGCATTCCACCAATAGCAGTTTGAGAAGCGTCAGTTTCGATTTTAAGTAGAATATTTGGGAAAGGTGTAACTAAAGATACAGTGGTTAGTTGGTTTTTTGGTTGTGTAATGGAAGAGATAGCTTCATCTGAAAGTGGGATATTTTTGCTTATTGAGTCACAAGAATTTGTCAAATTGTAGAAATTGTTAAGTAGTTAGATTGGTGCAGTTAGGGATCTATTTAGCATAGTATGCAAAGAACCCTATGAAGCTGTTAAATTTTGGAATGTGATATTGAAATAGGATAATGTTGTAAGCCCCAAAACCTTTCGGGATCTGGTTTCAACATTCTGTTTTCTATTTATTAGTTGTCCAATAAATCAGAGTGAGGTTTGAGAAAACTTACACATTTTATCGTTCATTTTCATTTCAAAATCGTTTTCTTCTATTTTGTAAATCTATCCAATATCAATATTCTTCTTCTGACAAAGAAGAATATCTATATTGAAAAAGAAAAGTTTATCTGGAAGAGTTTTTAGGAATATTTTATGATCTATTGTGTAATAAGATAATACAATAATATTGTTTTAGATTCCATCAAGACTAATACAAGTAAGTTAAGAGTAAGGTTATTATTATATTATCTAAATTTTAAAGAAACACAATATACTTAATATAAATATAATAACACAATATTGCAATAACACAATAACACAATTTTACATCATAAGTAGACCTTACTTTTAATAGAAAAAGCATTTTTCCAGAATTTTATCAAAACTTTGTTGATCAAAGCCATATAGAATATGTTAATATCATTAAAAATAAAGGGCCACATGCAAAATATTAACTTTCTGTATAATATACCATATAATAATAAGATTTTATACTATGAAACTGTGTACATGTTGCATTTAACTTGTGTGTATGTGTGATTTATAAATTGATTTTGTTACTATTATGCCTATAAAACGAGGAAAAAATGATGAATTATTCACATACTTTTGTCTGGCACTGTGTTTATATATATATATATATATATATATATATATATATATATATATATATATATATATATATATATATATATATATATATATATATATATATACTTTTAAGTACATATATATATATATATATATATATATATATATATATATATATATATATATATACATATGTATATATATATATATATATATACATATATATATATATATATACATAAGTATATATATATATGTATATATATATATATATATATATATATATACATACATATATATATATATATATATATATATATATATATATATATATATATATATATATATATATATATACATACACATATATATATATATATATATATATATATATATATATATATATATATATATATATATATATATATATATATATATGTATATATATATAGTCTTGCATGGGAGTCGAAAAGTTTTTCCCATAAACTGTAGTTTTAAAGAGAGTGCTTATAAACCAGGCCAGAAATAGTTTAAAAACTTGAAAAATTTTTTTAATTAAATGATAGACTGCCTGCCCTAACCAAACCCTCAGTCGATGTAGCAGCGCATTCGAATTTTTGAATCAGGCTCTTTGTCAGTCAATGTAGCAGTACTCTGTTGCGAGTCAGGCTATAAGATAGTTGATGCAGCAACATTCCGTTGCTAGTCAGGCTATAAAATAGTCTATGTAGCAACACTCTGTGCATGTTATAAAAATATATTTTAATGAAACAACAACAAAAACACCATTAATTAAAAGAAACTTTCTAGTTATTATTATTGAGGTTTTTTTAAAAAACAATAAAATTTAATGTACTTCCGCATTAATTTAATTGCTTTGAAATTTCGACGACAGTAACAGTGACAGTGTGTATATATAAATATATATATATATATATATATATATATATATATATATTTATATATATATATTTATGTATGTATGTATGTATGCATGTATGTATGTATGTATGTATGTATGTATGTATGTATGTATGTATGTATGTATGTATGTATGTATGTATGTATGTATGTATGTATGTATGTATGTATGTATGTATGTATGTATGTATAAATGTATAATGATAGTATCTTTTTTCACAGAAAATGATGAAACAGCTTATGAACCATTTGCATTTATATTTTGGACTCTACTCATGCATATTTATTTTTTTGTTTGCTTTTATATGCTACAGCAATACGCTGAGCTCAGAGTTTGTCTATGACGACACGTAAGTATACTTCTACCTAGTGATTATTATGGATTATTACAAAAAATAAATTTTTTTTCTATAAGATTTAGATTTGTTTAAGTTTGATTGAGAAAATTTTGTTTAAAGTTATTTTAATTTAGTTTTATACTTTCTTAAAAAGTTAATAATGTTTCAAATTCATTCACTGTGTTTATTGCTCATCAGGTTAAAACAAATATTAGTTCAAAGATTTTCTTTTTTAATTGTTTATAATTATTTTTAATTGTTTATAATTATGACACAAGGGATGCCATAGTGAATTGTTTATAATTATGGCACAAAAGTAGATAAGTCATCTACCCTTTGTCTCAAAGAAAAATGGTAGATGACTCAACAAGTAAATTACCATTCATAAATATAGAAAGATCTAGAATGTTGCAATAACAATTAGCTGAAAAAAATTAGGTTTTAACTGAGTAAAAATTCACTAGTTACTATGCTGTAGCAGAAGTGAGGTCCTTTTTTTTTCTTCATGTTAATTCACCTCCATAAGGCCAGGAATGCCACTACAGACAAGGAGGCTACTTAATTGTGGTTATAACCCTCTCTCAACTCTATAACTCCAAAACACAAGCCTTAGCAAACAAGGCCACTGCACAGAGAAACAAGTTAAGCATTGTACTTCCAGGGATCCAGGGACATGGTGGAGATAGAACCCATGTTATAGACATTGTTAAACAGATGTCTGTTTCTAAAGAATTTTTTTGCTGATATATATAAAAGTAATGGTTGTGATCGGCAATTGCAGCAGCACAATAAGAGGAAAATCAATGAGAAGAGTGAGGCTTGATTTGGAATTGTTTAGAGGTTATAAAAGGTTCCATGGCAGCCTGAATCCAAGAAGTTACATAAGAAGCACATTTGTCAGCAGGAAGGCGAAAAATTTCTTCCCAAAGGCCATTACAAAGAAAATCACGAAAAGAGTTCCAGTCAGATTTAAGGTTGTAAGAGGTTGATGATAGGAAGATTCTGACGAAGAAGAAGAATGAGATATTAGTTTTAATGAGATCAAACCCTGTTCGGAAAGACCTAAGAGTAAATGTGGAGAAATTGAGCACTGACTAGGATCAGAAACAAGACATATGTCGAGTAGAGAAGGTAAATGATTCAGATTGTCTGGAAAGCATTCAGAAAGTTGGAACATTTGACATTTGAATTAGAGATTGAAAGTTGACATTTGAGTTAGAAATTGAGAAAGGTAAAAATTGTGGGCCTTAATACCGGCAGAGTCACTGACACTTGAACCAAACAATTCAGTGTGATGAACATTCAAGTCACCAGTAACAATCATATTAGTGAAAGATCAAAAGAAAGGGCTTGGTCAATTTGATCAGAAATAACATTGAAAAGATTAAGGGGAGCAATATAGTACAGAATGAAAGTTGATTGAGTGAAGTGGTGCTAAACAAAAAATAATACAATGCACATAAAAGAATAGTCTGTGGATTCAAAACTAGTTTCCCAAAAAATGGATGAATTCTTACGAATGTAACGGGTGACAACTAAAAAACGAGACTGGATTTAAAGATATATATATCTTTAAAGAAATAAGCTAAAACAAAAAGGAAAAATGTTCTTGATAGTATTTTTCTTCAGTTTTTAAAAATATAATCAGTTGTTCTCAATTAAACCATTTTTTCTGACTTTATCGACTATGCCTGGTATAGACTGAGCTAGTCTCCGTATGAGCTCAATATCAATTTCATTAAGGCAATACTTGATTCTAGAACATAATTTTTAAAGATTTTCTCCATGCCAATTATTCTTGTAGACAATGCCTTTCAAAATACTCCAAAAATTTTCGATAGGGCGACATTTTGGGAAGTTTGCAGGGTTATCCGCTCTCTCAACATAATGCACGTTTTCCTTGTTTAGGTACATGATTACTGTTTTTGCATAATGAGATGATGCTAAATCTGGCAAGTATACATATGCACCTGAATGATACCTATTGATGAATGGAATAAGTCTCTTCTTAATACATTTGTTTAAATAGATTTTTTGGTTTACAGCCAGTCCTCTTGGTACAAAATAAGGTTGAGAAATTCCATTTTCAGAAAAAGCAATTCATAGAAGTAATTACTTTTGAAACTTTTGTTTTGTTTGGTATTTAACTGTAGATGGAGTAGATTTTACATCACCAGTATAAAATATATCATTTCCATTGATACTGGAGTGATTTATTGTGAAATAAGATTTGATTGGTTTACGATTTTTGAATTTCTGACACAATCGACTGCACTTAGTTCTAGCTACTGCTTTTTGCTGGTCAGAGCGTTTTAGAATCGTCATTTTTTTCTCTATTTAATATTTGTTCTTTTTTTTAATGTTTTACTAATGTGTTGCTGAGTACAGTTGAACTTTTTAGCTGCCTGTCGTTGAGAAACTACGTCTTTATGGTCAAACATGAGTTTGAGCCTTTAAATGTTTGTCCTAATCATTTTTTTAATTTTTACTCCACTTCCTTGAATTCTTTGGTACCTAGATTCACTTTCAGCATGTTTAATTATCTTGTAAATAGTACTTTTAGGTATATTCTCAGCTTTAAAGTGGTCATAAGTGAACTTTTTACCAGCATTTTTGTAATTTAATTAAAATTCATACACATGTTTTCTAATCTCTTCTTGTTTTGAATTTATTTTTTTATTCATTTTTCTATAAAAAATAAAAACACATAAAGTATTTAAAAACTGGAATAAAAATACCTTCTAAAACAGTTTTCCTATATTTAAAATCTTATTCCTTTAAGGAGATATGTGTCTTTAAATCGAATCTCATTTTTTAGTTGTCATCCGTTAAATGCCCAGGCCAAGCCTGTGACTATTGGAGTCTTTACGAATTAAAGGAAGATAACCATCAACACTAAGATCACAAGGTGAGACAACTGAAGACCACGAATATTAGTAAATGATAGGTTTAGCGAACTTTAGCGATGACATCAGCACTAAGATCACAAGATTCAATAGCCAAACTCAAATTAGTAATTAGCAAGTAGGTCTGGTGAACTTTGCAAAAGATGAAGATCAACTAAAGAAAAGTTATTTCGAAGACCACAAATATTAGTGAATGATTAGGTTTAAAGAACTTGGTGATGACGATGGTTTTTAGTGTTAATAGGTTTTGATACTTTAGTCATTTTTTAATTTGTTAAAGAACTTGACTCAAAGCACAGATAATACTCATTATACTATCTAATAGTCCAAGTAATTGGCTCATTACTATTAATAAAACCCTAAGTCTTAACAATGGGCTCCAAATGTGGCCTCAACAATGCACACCAAAAGTACAAACAGAGACACCATTCATGCATAACATGGCACTGTTAGTACTGTAATATTTTACAGCTGTTGACGGAATCAACCTCTATGAGAGCTACCAAAGAGTTCATGAAACCTGACTACCAGCTGGTCTCTGAACCATAAAACTGAGTTTTAGAGCTGTACCCTCATTAGGAGATAATAGAATGAGATGCCTAGTCATAAAAACAGAGACACAAGCAAAGCCCAAAGTCAAGAAGGTTGCTGGATCTTCTCGACTTAATATCCTAAACTGAAAACAATGTATTGTAGATACATCTATGCCAGCCTAATAGATGTAGAAGAGGTAAGAAGCTGGTCAACAGATAAAATTTGTTTACCCCTTATAATATTTCCTAATATCATGTTGCTTTCCTAATATCATGTTGCTTTCCTAATATCATGTTGCTTTTCATAAAATATATTGTAAGTTATAAATGGGATTTATAAGGAATGGAGCGTTAAACAACTTTGTTTTGCTGGTTAGAGCTGGTAAGGTTATTATTTTAAAAGCACAATTAATCTCGAAATACTGGTTACTATTGGTTACTTATTGTTGTCACATTGTTGTCAATACTGTGAGAACCAATCAACCAATCAGCTCATTCCAGTGCTGTCAAATTTGTTATTGATCAGACTCCTCATTTCATCAATGTTGATATAGTTCATTGTGGTGACAAATTGACCGATGAAGCAAATAAACCACCATCCATCCCTCAAAAAACAAAGAAGCAAAAAAAAAAGTCAGACAAAAGGAAAGCATTTGATTACACATAAAATCTGTCATTAATCATAGACAATATTATTTGAAAAATCTTTAGTTGCAGCCAGACCAAAACTTCAATGAACATGGTGTTTTATAAATTTTGTTTGTAGATATCAAAAACAAATAACCAAGTTTTTTTTAAGTATATTGTCTAAGTATTATAATTCATCAGTATTAATGGTGTCTGCTATTGTTTAATATTTTTCCTATCTCATTTATATTTTGACTTATGAAAACTAGGTAATAATGAACATAAGCATAACCAACAAGCTTATTATAGCTTATTATTTAAACAAGCTTGTTAATCAAAAACTAACTTATAATGTTTTTATAACTAATAATAATTCAAATTTTTCTTAGAAATTATTTAAACTTGCATTTTTATACCATTGTTTTTATGCTGTGATAAAAATGTTGAAAATTGGTAATAAGAGACAATAATATAATATAATATTTTTATAATAGAATAATGCAATATAATTTTTTTTTTAAATATTATTAAAACACTGTTGAAATAAAAAAATAAAAATAAAATTTTGAATTAATTTTACAATGCTACTGTTTTAACTTTTTTGATCTCACTTCTCCTGACATTTTATCCTCTTTCAATTCTCCTAAATTCAATGGTTTGTTAACATGTGTTCTGCTGAATCAGGGCAGTATGCATGCTTGGTGAATTTCAAGGCCATTCATTAAAAAATCTTTGAGCTATTTTGACAGCAGGTGTGTTGGAGGCCTTGGTCTTCCCCTATCATGAATAACAAAACTATTATAAGTTATCTGAACTTGGTAGAATATGATACAACCACACTTGTTTTCTCACAACTACCGAAAGATGAAAGATCAACCTTGGAGGCCAGGTTATTACAATTCATAGTTTCAATTTTATGCTTAATTTTAAATGCCTCGTTGTTGCTGCTGAGTTGAAATATCTTTCATATTAAATAATATAAATATCTTTTATATTTAATAAAATATATATCTTTTAGATTAAAAATATCACACAGTAAGCTATTATTTCTTAATTGAATCTTTTGGAGTGAAGTTTTTTTTTTTTAAATTGGACTTTTTAGAGTTAATGTTTAATTTTTTGTATTTTTGAAAAATGTTGAAAAAAAAACAAGTGGCTAATTGCATGTCAAAGTAGAAATGGGTCAGATGTCAGATGCAGTCGCAGATGGTTTTAAAGAAATACACAGTGGAAAAGGAGTTTGGTATAAGAAATATTGAAGGGAAAATGTTAGAATTTTCAGATGCTATTGGATTATCTATAATTAATGATTTACAAAAAAAAATTAACACGAAGGAACTTATAAGTCATGTGACTTCAATATACAAGTGGACTATAAATCAGAAAACAAAACAGAAAATGGGTGAGTACCATAAGAGTTATATGAGACAAAACCTGTATTACTTAGCACAAATTAGTTGTTTTTTACATGTTATTTAACAATATTTATTTTTTGATGTTTGTGGAACGTCTGATTTGTTCTTCTGCATTGAGATGCAGAAAGTATGAAAAAACATTAAGAATAGCTTTATAGAAGAATCTGATAAAGTATTTGGAAGAATAAAGAGTTTTCAGAAACACAAAGAATCACAAGACTCATGGAATTATGATTGGGGAATGCAGAAAAGGGTAGAATTTTAGAAGAAAAGACTTTTAAAAATGTTTAAAAGTCTGAGAATGAACAAAGAAAATATGCTCTTGCATTAATTGGCTAAGTGCAAGACAAAACAAGTTGTATACAAAGCTCAATCAGATAAACAGAGGTTATTATATTTGTGAAATGCTAGATTTAAAGTAAAAAAAAAATTCAGTGTTTATGGTTTTAAACCAAGTGATTATAATGAAGGGATGAAAACTTTGGAGAGAGTTGTATTATAAAGCTACATTGAAAAACATTTACAAATGAAGTTGATGTAAAAACAAGGTGGATGGCTTTTTTGTAATGTTATGTTTTTGTATAATTTAATAATAATAACTAATTTTTATATTACTAATTATACTAATTATTACAACAGTGATATAGTGCTTGCTTTGTATGCAAAAAGTTCTAAGTGGGATCACCATATACCTATTAGTACTAAGCTAAACTTGTTTCTTCTCACAGATGTGTTTTTCATTAAGGCTCATGTTTAAGAATTAAAAAGTTAAAGAGGGTTTGAAAAACAATTAAAAGTAAAAAATAAAAATAGTATCCTCTGTAACTGTAGTGGCCCCTTTGACCTTAGGGAGGTGAATACAATAAAAAAATAAAAATAAAGCGCCTACCTGATAGTACCATGCTCAACTTGTTTCTCTGCGCTGTAACCGTGTTTGTCAAGGTTTGTGTTTCAGAGTTATAGAGTTATAGAGAGGATTGTAGCCACAATATAAATTAATAAAAAAGGTAACTAGTATTTTCGTATTATAAAATTAAATGGTTTAAATGAGTTTAGGGTTTTAGGGTTTCATTTAAGAAGTGGTTGCAGGAATTAAAAAAATTAAATTTAAAAGAAGCGAGCAATAATAATAAATAATTGCCCAGTACATGGTTGTGATCTATCATCATATGTTAAATAAAAACAAAATACACTGTGGGAAATGAGCTAGCAAATAGCTTGTTTTTTGGTATTGATTTTTTTTTGTCTCATTGTTTCATTTTGTCTTATACATCTTGTAAAATTTGATTTTTAGTATTGGATCTAATATATTTATGTTAGTAATTGAGTTGTAACTTCATAATTTGCTTGTAATTTCATTACAACATATCGTTGTCTAGATATTACAGCTTTGTAGCTATCAATTGATATAAATATTATGACATGGCAGCATAGTAGGTAGCTTGCTATAAATCTAAGCTAGTTGATGACAACATATTGTAACTTTTTAACTAACAATATTATTATGATATATTGCTAGTTATAGCTTATATAGTTTATAGCTAGTTATAATTTATAGCTAGTTACTACATAATGACAATTCTGTAGCTATTATGTGAATATAGCCATCTACTATTATAGTAAAATGTTTATGCATATTGCATATTTATTATATTGCATATAGCAATTTTAAAACAATATGTTGGTAGTTACATATTCTAGCTTTGTAGGTTACTAAAACATTCCTACAAATTTATAGATAGTTGATATTGCTAGCTAAAAACCAGTGTTGTGTATACAAGCAACAGCTTTTTAACTAGCAATATTATTATTATATCATTGTAGCTAACTATAACATAACGAAAAGTCTGTATCCATTTGAGACATATTGTAGCTTCATAACTATCAATATGGCTGTTTATGATAAAACTACCAAAATACTAAAAATTTAAAAAATATATAACCACAAGCAAAAAATGATAAAAGTTTGGTTGGTCTAAATATAAATCTGACATTAATAGCTAATAACATGTTTTTTGTGAAATAGTAAGTATATAAGATAATATTATGTAAAAGTATATATACTATTTATACCTTGCATATACATATAATCACACATTACATATGCATACATACCTAACACATACATTACATATACATAGATACCTTATACAAATATTACATATACATACAAACATTAAACTTACACTACATATATTTACATACCTTACATATACATACATACCTTACACATACATTATATATACATTAAATATACATACATACCTTACATAAACATTACATGAGCATGCATACCTTATGTATATATTACATATACATATATACCTTTCAAATTTATTACATATACATACATACTTTACACATACATTATATATACTTATATAACTTACACATACATTACATATAGATACATACTTTACATTACATATGGTATAAATATGATTAAGTAATATATGATTATGCAAGAATAAGCAGGATAAAATTGATGCTTTTTGAAGATCACCAGATCATATACAAGAGATTATCAGTATAGCTTCATTTTCTATTGATGCTAAATTTTGGCAGTGAAGCCACTACCAGACTCCAAAATCAATTCAAAATTTTTTGGTATTAGTAACATAATTGATAAAAACTAAAATTATTTTTGCAAAAATTTAAGTTAGCAATTTATTTAAGAAGAAGCAATCAAATTTCCTGGTTATTTAAGTAGAATTAATATAATGTCCTGGTTGTTTAAGAAGAACCAATAAAATGTCCTGGTTGTTTAAGAAAAACCAATAAAATGTCCTGGTTGTTTAAGAAGAACCAATGAAATGTCCTGGTTATTTAAGAAGAACCAATAAAATGTCCTGGTTAATTTGACTGAGCTTCAATAAAATTCTTTTTTCTTTCTATTCTTACTAATAATTTTAATTTCAACTGGTGAGACAAGTGGATCCATAAAAACATTAAATAATATTTTACAGAAGAAATAAAAGCAAACTTTAATTGAAATTTTTAAAAAACTGTTGTTAATAATTTTATATTGTTAATTGACAATTGTGGACTAAAAAAATTTGTTAATTGACAATTGCTTGTTTTTTAAAGCGTGTGGTTTTCACTAACTTTTGTTTATTTGGAATATTTCAAACAAAACATTTTCTTGTACGTTCAAAAAAAAAAAAAAAATTTTTTTGTATGCACACAAAGTTTTCCAAACAAACTGCTAAACATCGAGGCACATACTCATTTGCTATGGTGTTTAGGGATCATTTCTTTGACTTTATATCACTGCACTTAAAAATTTTTTTTTAAGTTAAATGTTTTCATTTTATATTGCTTATATTATTTAAATTTATATTAAAATGATATTAAATCTTTATTCAAATTCTTATATTATATAAATTTTTTTATTAAATTTCTTATACTATTTAAATTAAATTTTTAATTTTAATTCCTCATTAGGCGTGCTATTTTGGCCAATCAAGATCTGCTACCATCCAAGCCTTGGCATAACTTACTATTCAATGACTTTTGGGGTACACCTTTATCACATAGTGGTAGTCATAAATCATATCGTCCTGTCTGTGTATTTTCATTTCGACTTAATTATTTATTTGGTCAATTGAACCCATGGGGTTATCATCTTGTAAATGTTATACTTCATGGAATTGTATCATGTTTGTTTACATATTTTTGTTTGTTGTTTTACAATAAAAAATGGGTTGTTTTACTTGGTGGCCTAATGTTTGCAGCACATCCTATACATACAGGTAAGTTTATATACATTACAGTATGTTTATTACATATTCAGGTGTGTTTATTATACATTCCAGTACATTTATTATACATTCTGGTATGTTTATTATGCGTTCTGGTATGTTTATTATGCATTTCGGTATGTTTACTAGTAATAATTATTAATGTGTTAATAAAAAAATATTTTATTATTTTGCTTATTGATGAAAAAAAGTTATTTTAATTGATTGATATTATTTTATTGTATTTTTAAAGTTAATTAATTTTTTAAAAAAGAGGCAGTTGCTGGCATCGTTGGAAGAGCTGATGTGGGAGCAGCCCTATTTTTTTTACTTTCATTAATTTGTTATATTAAAGCATCAAATGGTTATTTCAGTAAAAATATCTTATGGTTTTGTTTGAGTTTATTATTTTCTCTTCTTGCCATGTTTACTAAGGAGCAAGGTATAACTGTATTGGGTTTATGTATTGTTTTGGAAATCCTGATTGTGTCAAAATGCAATATTGCTCAGCCTTCTAAAGTATTTGAGAATGTAAGTAAAATTATAGACTTTTTTTTTGTCATAAAAGATAATTTAAATATATAATTTAAACTTTTTTTTTAGCTCAGGACATCAGGTGGTCATATACGGTGTTTATTTTTAACTATATGGAGTGTAGCAGTTTTATACCTTCGTTTTTTGATCATGCAAAACACTCTCCCTGAATTTTCTAACTCTGATAATCCTGCTGCCAATGACCCAAATATTTTGACAAGGTTCTTTACCTTCATGTATCTGCCGTTTTGCAACTTATATTTATTATTTTTTCCATGGCAATTGAGTTATGATTGGTCCATTGAAGCTATACCTTTGGTTGAGAAACTAGTATGCTGGGAGAATGTTTGTTCAATTTTAATGTACTCGTCTCTGATATATATACTTTGGTTTTATCTTAGATGTTTTCATTTACTCTTAAAGAATAAGAATAATCAAAATGTAAATATATTTGACCTCATGATTTTTGGACTTGCGGTCATGATTATTCCATTTTTACCGGCCTCAAATTTATTTTTTTATGTTGGATTTATTGTTGCTGAACGTGTTCTGTATATTCCAAGTATTGGATTCTGTTTTCTTTTTGTTAATGGGTTGTATTTAATGGTTCATGTAAAAAAACAACCAAGATGGCTATATGCAACAGTTGTGTTATCTTTAATTTTTGCATTGCAAACATATCAACGAAACATTGCATGGAAAGATGAAGAGAATTTATACAGGTTATTATTAAATGAATAAGTAAATTTATAATAATAATAATTATTATTAATAAATTTATTTAATAATAATAATTATTATTATTAAATAAATTTATAATAATAATTTTTGTAGAGATTGGTTTGCTTGTTTCATTTACATTTCTTTTTCTTATGAAATAGGAGTAAATCATCACCAGATCAGACACCGGTGATGGTTTATCGGTGTCAAGCAGCCTTTTACTGAAAAAGATTAACTTTCACTGACCTAATCTTTCACTAAAAAAGATTTTGATGTGTGTCACATCAAAATCTTTCTCAGAGCATTTAAAATCTTTTATTGTTTTACTCTCTGTGTTTCAACTAACCCCCTGAAATTAGTTTTGGAATATGCATCAATAAAAAAGACAACCATACAATTGACATTCCCATTAAAATTAAACAACGCTTTAAGATCAGGTTGTAGTGAAGATACCATTTTAAATAAGTTTGAAGTTCATTGTGCTATATCTATTTATAGCAACTTATAAAATTACTTCAGAAATGCAAGAAATACCTGAATCTAGTTGATACTTTTATACTTATAGTTAAAACAATTTGATGACTAAGCATAATAACAAGATATATAGGTTGCCAAATACTCTGTGCTTTGGCAGAGCATTGAGCCAAATATTCGGTATTCAGTATTTGGCAAAATCACTATTGATGACATCTCTAATATTTAACAGATTTAATATTGTAATATATTTAATAGAATAGTAATATATTTAATAGAATATTTAGTTAAAACAAAAATTATTAAAAATATATTTATAGTTTTTATGCAGTATAATTGTGAAATTAAGCTAAATAGAATATTTTATAAATAATTTTTATAAATATTGTGTAATAATTTTAGATCTGGTCTAGTATTGAGTCCAGCAAAATGTAAGTTTTCTTATATAACTGAGGTAAGAGTAAAAGAATATATATATATATATATATATATATATATATATATATATATATATATATATATATATATATATATATATATATATATACATATATATAAAGATTTAGCAATTTTGTTTCCTTTTGCAATTATTAGAAGCTAAAACATCTTTAAAAAGGTGTGGCATTTCATTATAGAGAGTTATCTGCTTTATCTAAGGTGTACAAATTATTTATTTTTGCTTAGCTAAAACCTAACCTTGCCTACACTCACCCTAGTAAAAAAAGTTTTTTTTTAAGTTCAATTTGAACCATTTAATATAAAAAATGTAGAAAATTTTATGACTAATGTGATTCTCTCTTCAATTTTGCTAGTTCAGGAATAATAGTTATGCGCCAAAAACAGAGGAAATGTTTTTCAAAGGGTAAACATGTTAATTGCTACATCTATACACTAAGATGAGTGCGGCTAATTGAATTAATTAATTAAAACAAATTGTTAAGACATCCTTTGCTATCTATCTGAAAAAACTTTAGCAAGTCTTAGTTAATAGATAAGTAGTTATTATTATATTCAATTAAAAACAAAAAATATTGCATATATGAATTTAAATAAATAAAAAACATATTAAAAATTATATTAAAATTTAAACTTACAAAAAGTTTGTTTCTTTTTTTTATAACTTTTCATTGAATTTATAATCATTTTTTTTTGTACTTTTCATTTTGCAACAGCCTACTTAAATCTTGGTAATGTTTTGAATGCCAGAAACAAAACTAAAGAAGCTGAACAAGCATATCGTACAGCATTAAAATTTAGAAGCAATATGGCAGATACTCACTACAATCTGTAAGTCTGTTCATATTTATTATATATTTATTAGAACTTCTTTTTTATGCTGAGTTTTTTTTTTCTTAACTATTTTGAGCTTTTTTTTTTCTTAACTATTTTGAGCTTTTTTTTTTCTTAACTATTTTGAGCTTTTTTTTTTCTTAACTATTTTGAGCTTTTTAACTATTTTGAGAACTTCTTATTTATGTTGAGTTTTTTTTTTGTGCAGTTTTTTAGTAATACTTATATTCCAGTATTAAAGCGCATAAACAAAACCACCCAATCATAATATTCTGAAAAAAACCACCCAATCATAATATTCTGAAAAAAAGCACACAATCATAATATTTTGAAAAAAACCACACAATCATAATATTCTGAAAAATATATGCAATCCTTAAACTAAACTCAAATTTTCTATCTAGAAAATTTGTATAGATTTTTTATATAACAGATTTGAGATCAGCCTAACTTTCAGCATTTTTATCTTAATTTGGATTTAAATTCTTTCAGCATTTAGATCTTAATTTGGATCTAAAAGCTGAAAGTAAAGTTAAGTAGATTGAATACCATGAGTCTTTCAAGGTTAAGTTTCATGGCTAATTTTATTGAAAAATTTGTGCTTTTTATTACTTTCTGCTCTCTAAAGTCAGTTATTAAAGTCAGTTTCATATTTTACATTGTTTAGTATTTCTACTTCAATCTTAGTATTAGATCAACAAGCAAATGTTGATGTGTGATGTGTATTTTATCGCTGAACAATGCAATAGTGCACTGCAAGTATCTCTGCTTTAAGGTATGCTATAGAATGGTGAACATTGGTTTTTATGTTTGAGCTAGGGTTAGAGAGCAAAATAGAAATCCTAATTTTAATTACATTTTCTCTGTACTGTCCACTCTAGACAATGGTCACTTTAACTATAGATGGTTCTTGAGTGGTTACTTTAGCTATTGATGATTTTTTGTATTTAGGTGACGTACTTACAGAAATTAAATGCTTTTTATGCTGATTGACTTTTAAAACTTGTTCTTTTAAAAAAAAAATTTTTTGGGGGGTTAACATACATTATTTCATAAATCAAAAATCTTATAATAATTTTATAATTTCAATTTTAATTAATAAATTCATTATTTACTATTAAAAATTTTAATAATACCTATAAATATAATAATTATAAATTATTTTTTATTCCAAGAATAATTTTAATCTTATATAAATAATAATAATATAAATAACAATCTCATATAAATCACTTTATTATTTAACCTTTTGGAGATGTTAACTAAATAATATTTGTACCATTTTTGTAATTGTAATGCATTTAACAATTAGGAATGCACTGATGCATTGGCATTGGCCTGCCAGCTAAATGGTTGATACCATGCATTAATCATTTAGCTGGCTATATATTTTTTTTGACAGTATTTTATCAAGGGCTCCCTACTTTTTTGATGTCTTTTTATAATTTAGAACAGAAGTTATATGAATTATAGTTTCAAATTATAGAAGCAGAAAAGTTTAAAATCAATAAATGCGAATTTGAAAAACTTTTTCTGCCAGATGCTCATCCTCTTGATATTTTTACATTACAAATATTACAAATTGCTTTTGAAAGATTTCATCAATATCAAAACAGTCCCAGATTTGACTATCTATATATATATATATATATGTATATATATATATATATATATATATATATATATATATATATATATATATATATATATATATATATATATATATATATATATATATATATATATATACATATATATATATATATATATTTATATATATATATATATATACAGGGCTTAACTTAACAGTCAGACATCGGACATTCATCTTTGTGTACATAAAGCTTGTACCAATAAAACTTTTTGTATGGAAATAGTAATAGACAACAAAAACTAAAAAACAGTTAATTTTACTAATATCAAGGTATCTTTTACAGAAAAGAGTGAAATTGACTTTGTTCTATACAGAGATAAAGACTTTTTTTGTGCAATTAATTAAATTTGAAAATGAAAACTGGTTCAATAAGATTTTATCTTGTTTAAATACATTTTATTTTCGGTTTATGATTAAAAAAATATTTGAAAGGATGTAAAAGTATGTAAATTATTATAAGAAATTAATATTTTTTTTATTCTTTAATATTTTCTTTGTTAGGAATTGCATTAAACAATAAATTTTTATGTTTTACTTAGTTGCTAAAGCATTTAGGTACAAACATGAAAAATCCCGACTTCTTTTTTTTCTTTATTTTTTATTGCAACAATCTCAGTTCTTTCAATATTTGACATTTTACTCGATTTATTTTTGTTGTTTACTTCCGCGTACATACAAATACCATAATGCATTGCTTTATGGGGAAAAGTCCATTGTTTATAAAATTGATTATACGAAAGCAACAGTTATTATTAATCAGTCAGACATCGGACATCCAGCTAAAACCTCAGATTGTCCGATCAATGTACAAAATCATCAGACATTTTGTTCGGGATTTTGAATTCTTTAAAACAAAATTTTATTTGTTGATTTGAAATTGACAAAATTAAACTTAATGTAAACTATTATACAAACTTATAAAATATGTTGATAATGGAGGCATTCATTCCCAATTGAAGCACTGTTATTAATTGTAGTTTTAATGACTGTTCTTTAACAGTTTTTTTTAATGTTATTAAATTTAAAATTATTGTTTATTTAAAACGATCGCAAAATGGGATATTGTAGAATGCAAATGAGCAAATTAATTTTGAAAAAGCGCCTAATCTAAGAAATGTCTCATTATTGAATTCTACTGATATTTCAATTATGTAAAAGTTTTTATAAGTTTTTTCAAGAAGTCAAAAGATGGAGATTACAATAATGAAAAGAAGTTTAAAAAAAGTTTAGTTATATCAAAATGGGGAATGTTGGTGTAGTTAATAATTTTTTTTTTTTATAAAGTGAATAAACTCTCATTGAAAAAATATTTTGTTTTACAAAGTAAGTCAAAGTATGTTTGATTGATTACTGCAAACGCAGTGGACACCAAAAAGTAAAGAAAAGCTGGCAGTTTTAAAAATTTGATAATAAAAGATTTTACAGAGGTGTTTTTTTTAGAAACTGGTGAAATCCTAGTCCTCCTCGAGTTTTCCGATTCTTTATTCATTATTCGTTTTTTAAACTATATCTTTATTTGTATTTTTTTCTTTTTATTTCTATAAAGATTCTAATATATATATATATATATATATATATATATATATATATATATATATATATATATATATATATATATATATATATATATATATATATATATATATATATATATATATATATATATATATATATATATATATATATATATATATATACTCTTGCATGGTAGTTAAAAAGAGTTTCCCATAAACTGTAGTTTTAAAGAGCGCGTTAATAAACCAGACCAGAAAAAGTTTAAAAAATTTAATTTTTTTTTTTTTTTTTAAATGATAGACTGCCTGCCCAAACCAAACCCTCAGTCGATGTAGCAGCACTCCTTTGCGAGTCAGGCTATTTGTCAGTCGATGTAGCAGCACTCCCTTGCGAGTCAGGCTATTTGTCAGTCGACGTAGCAGCACTCCCTTGCGAGTCAGGCTATTTGTCAGTCGATGTAGCAGCACTCTCTTGCGAGTCAGGCTATTTGTCAGTCGATGTAGCAGCACTCCGTTGCGAATCAGGCTATAAGATAGTCAATGTAGCAACATTTACGCATGTTTTAAAAATGTTTTTTAATAAAACAAAAACAAAAACACTACAAATTAAAAAAAACTTTCTAGTCGTTATTATTGCGGTTTTTTAAAATTTTTTTAAAAAACAATAAAATTTAATATACTTCCTAAAATTTAATTGCTTTGACATTTCGACAACAATCAAATACAGCTTAAGAGACGAGGTAATTAAAATTGTAGTCGAAAGAGACTTTTTTTACATTAAACAACTCTTTCGACTACACTATAAGGATATATATATATATATATATATATATATATATATATATATATATATATGTGTGTGTGTATATATATATATATATATATATATATATATATATATATATATATATATATATATATATATATATATAAAAGATTAAAAAGTTCTAGCTTTATATAAATTGTCTGCCAAAGAAGAAGTGCCCTTTTGAAAAGTAGATAAATAATAACCTGTAGAACTCATAAAATTTTCTTCATTGAATTGATCGAATTTTAATGACATGCAGCGTGTGGAATTTTTAAATTAAATAATAGCCCCTAAATATCATATTGGGTTTGATTTAATCGCCTTTAAATTAGTAAAAGTGATTTTACGTGTAGATTTTACGAATTTGTAATAACCAATATCTTGCATAATGATTTGATTTAACTTTTAATGAGTAAACATGTAAGTATTTCTTTAGAAGATAAATAACACTCTAGTCTTAAAAGTTATTGTTGAAATCTAATGTGAGTTCTTAAATGTATATGAATTTTTTAAACTATCAATGAATTGTTTTTTATTTTATTTTTATACAAATTGGTTTTAAAATATACTTTTAAAATATATAAATAAAATATATATATTTTTTCTCTTTATTCAGATTATTTTATTTCTTGTATGATTGTATTTTATCTATTTAATCACAGTAGTTTATCTTTTTAATGATTGCAATTTATAATCAAATGATTCTTATTTATCTAAATAACTATGATTATGTAGTAGTTTAAAACTATGGATCACAGTGAATTGAACCTTGCTCTTTGAATTGCTCTTTTGAGCGCAGTTGCAATATCATTGTTGCTTTTGTGCTAAAATTGATTAGTTTAGTTATCTAAAATGTTGGAAAACAAAACATCTTTATGTTGTACCCAGTTTTTTTCTAGAAATTTTAAATTAAGTTATTAGAGACTAATAAATTATATATTTATAAATTATAAATTATAGTAAAATTTTTTTAGTTATTATCATTCAATAGTGCATCATTGTTCACTAGAAATAAACACAC